CGTGTGTCCCACCCGGACATACTCGCCACCGTGCCTCTGGGCACGCAGTGAGCGTGTCCTCGGGTCCGTGGCCCAATCCTCGGAGCCTCAGCCCCGAGTCCTGAGGAGCCTCTTCAGGGGCCCGCACCCGACCTTCCGACATCTGCCGGGGCTCTTGTCGCGTGCCCCCTGGGGCTCCCTGCACCTTGCCGCATGAGTTTCTCTGGCCCGAGAGGGTCTCCAGACTGCCCAAGAGGCCCCCACGAGACCCGCAAGACGGTCCAAGATGGCCCCGAGACCCCGAACGATCGGTCCAACACGCCCAAGGTGGCCTCAAGATGAACCAAGAGGCCTCCAAGACGGCCTCCAAGAGACCTCCCAAGAGGGCCCCCAGATAAAACAACGTACATGTTCGTACAATCCGCCGGCCCCCTTGTGGGGTCACCAGGCTGTATGACCCGGGTTTGCTGTTCTCTGCGCCAGTTCCAATTTCCAACTTTCACTGTTGCAATTCTGTCTCTTGCTGCTCACTGGTCCTTGTTGTATACCGCGCGAGGGGGGGGGGAGCCGAAAACCGCTCTGGTTAGCACCTTCCGGGAGGGGTCTCAGAATTTCTGAGGGGGGGTCTAAATTAACACCCCTCACGCAGATCGGCGGGGTCAGGGTCCAAAAACACATTGGATTTGCCACATTTCTGACATTCGGCTGCACCACTCACGCAGATCGGCGAAGTCAGGGTCGAAAAAACACATTGGATGTGCCACATTTCGGAAATTCGGCAGCACCCCTCACGCAGATCGGCGAGATCAGGGTCGAATAACCAATGGAATTTGCTACATATCTGAAATCCAGCTGCACCCCTCACGCAGATCGGCGGGGTCAGGGTCGAAAAACCAATGGGATTTGCCACATGTTTGAAATCCGGCGGCACCCCTCACGCAGATCGGCGGAGTCAGGGTCGAAAAAACTATAGGATTTGCAACCTTTCTAAAAATCGGCGGCACCCTTCACGCAGATCGGCGGGGTCAGGGTCGAAACACAAATGGGATTAGCCACATTTCTAGAATTCGGCGGCACCGCTCACGCAGATCAGCAGGGTCAGGGTCGAACAACCCATTGGATGTGCCACATGTCCGGAATTCCTGTGGGAAACCTCAGTGCACAGCATACGGGGGCAGGTTCAAAATGCAACACTGAGCTCAACAATATCATCATAATCTCAATTTCTTTTGCCGATGCTGCTTCACGGCGGCGCCGAGGCCTCATGATTTAGCTTTTGCGTAGCACATTATCCGAGAGAGTGGGCCGACGGCAGTGGGCGAAGCCCCTACGGATATTTCAAAAAGAGTTTGGCCTTCTCGCCTTTTCGGCTTTCCGACGCGCTGAGACGGCCCAAGCGGCCCCTACGACCACTCCAAACGGCCAAAGAGGGCTCCAAGTGGGCCTCAAGCCTTTCCTATCAGCCGCGCCCCGCCGACAGGTCTCCAGGGGGATGCCGCAATCGTCCCAGACAGAAAGACACACGAGGATCGAACTTCGGACAAACAGCTGCGGGCGGCCCCCAGCCGCAAACGCCATTAGTACGTAGATCACGGCAGGCGGCAAAAGCCAAAACATACCATAAGATTGTAATTGAGCGGGGGACGACCGTCCCGGCATTCCTACAGGCCTACCACGGCATGCTCCTAGAGCAAGAAAATGTTCAAATAACAGAAGCAATTATCTTAGAACGTGAACCCGATATGTTAAACAAAACATTAGCAGAAAACAAATGATCTAAGAACAACGAAGGAATGAAGGTCTGGGTACATGCCTCGTCGATCATTCGACGTCTCAATCTGTCTCAGAACTCCTGTGGGGCCCTTGGGCCGTCGGGAGATTAAGAAGCGCATATGGTACACCTGTTGGCAGGCCGCTGTCTCAGCCGATGTGCCCACGCACGCACTGCGTTGTGTGCTTCCGCCCTGGAGGGAGTCCGCTTCTGGCCCGGGGCCCCTTGTGAATCGGCCGGGCCTGGCACCCCGCGCAAAGAATTGGGGTTTCTCTGGAGCCTCGAGGTCATGATTCCAGAACTATTGCCATTTCAAAGATTTACTGACCCAGGTCAACGCAAACCCGGGTCAGTCAGATTTGGGGAGAACCTGCGGTATCCTGCAGGATCCTGCAGCCTCCTCCACGCTAGCCCGGGTCAATGCGCTCCTGGCTCTGCAGGATCCTGCAAGATGTGGCGTTCTGGCTGACCCCCGTTTGAATCGACCCCCGTCTCTTGAACCCCGACGGTTTGGCCGAGACTGGAAACCCTGAACCAACAAAAAATGCGACCGTCTGCCGGGAGCACATGCTCCACCTGCTTGCTATTAGAAAATACTCCCAACTGGCTTTAGGAAGGTTCGCGGCGGGCTTCGGTCTCTACCTGTACCAGGCGCAATCGAAAAATAGATCGGATGCCCTGCGGCGAGGGTGTGTAGAGAGGCAAGGCCCAAGAATTTACCCCGGCCCCGCCCCGCACGCCCCCGCAGCCTACCTCCGCCGGCTTCCGCCCGCAGAGGAGGCGCCGTCGTTCTGTCTCCGCCCGCTTCTGGTGGCGCCAACGCCTTCGACTCCCCGCAAGGCAAGGCCCCTCCTGCAGCGCGCCCTGTGGCGCCAAGGGCCCCGGGGGGGAAACCGAAAGGTACCGAGACCGCTACGCCCCGGACCTCCCCCAGGGGGGCGTTCTGACCAGAATCGCGAGGCGAACCCGGCGGTGGCGACGAGGGCCTCTCGGCAGGCCGAACAGGGAGGCAAACGGGCGAAGGGCAGCGGTGTGGGCATACCGCTGCCTTCTCTGAGCCACGCCGATGCGTCCTCGGCCCGGGTGGACGGCCGCGGCCCCCGCGAAAAAACCCGGAGGTGCGATAGGCCCCCCCCGAAGACGGGTCCGCCCCAACGCCGCGCGTCGCGCGGCGGGGAGCGGCCAGGCAGCCCCTGCCCCGAGGCTGCGCAGGGAGAGCGGGCGGTCTTCCTTCTCCTCCTCCTCCTCCTCCTCCTCCTCCACCTCCTCCTCCTCTTCCTCCTCCTCCTCCTGCTCCTCCTCCTCCTCCTCCTCCACCTCCTCCTCCTTCTGCAGCCCCAATCCTTCTCCTCCTGCAGCCTCATCCTTCGACTCCCCTTTCCCTGCCCCCTGTTCCTGTTCCTGGTGGCTGGAAGGTTCGTCGGACGTGGCCGTCCCCTTCCCAGGGCCGGTCGGCCCTGGGGGGGCTGATCAAACCAAGGCCAGGCGACCCTGGAGCACCGCTCCAAGGGTCACAGGCCGTGTTCGTAGGACGTAGATGGGGAAACCGACCAACAGACAGACTGGGACAGTGCCCCCTCCTCCTCCTCCTCCTCCTCCTCCTCCTCCTCCTCCTCCTCCTCCTCCTCCTCCTCCTCCTCCTCCTCCCCCTCCCATTGCTCCATGGGAGGGAAGAGAATGATTTTCTCGCAACGCGAGAAGGTCTGGGATTACCGCCAGCTCGACTGTTTTTCCCCCCCCAAACCGCCAGCCTGCAGCATCGCCATCTGCGAGGGGTCCATGCCCCCGGGCGCCTGCGGCTCTGCCAGGGCGCGAGCCCAGCGCTCCCTCCCATGCTGCTGCTGCTGCTGCTGCGGCGGCGGCGGCTGCTGCGGCTGCTGCTGCTGCTGCTGTTGCTGCTGCTGCCGGTGCTGCGGCTGCTGATACAGCTGAGGCTCCTCCTCCTGCTCTTCCTCCTCCTCCTCCTCCTCCTTCTCCTCATCCTCGTCGTCGTTATCGCTATCATTATCCAAGTGATGATCTTCTGCCGCTACTGATCGTGTTCCTGGTGTTCCTCCCACTCCTTCTTCTCCAGGCTCCTCCAGGCTCCTTCTGAATCTCCTGATTGTCTGTACCCTGTTTCCTCCTCCCATTGTACTAATTTTCCGCATGATTATCCTCAGCCGCCTCGTTATACTAATTATCCTCCTTCTGCTGCTCCTCTTTCCTCTTCTGCTCCACACAGCCGCGTTCCAATCAAGAGCATCCCCTCCATATACTCCTGGCCCGGTCACTTTGAACAGCTGTCGCACCTGGATCCTGTCACGTCGTCGGCGACCAGGGGTGGCACTCAAGGGAGGAGGACTGGCTTCGAAGGCATGGAGGAGGAAGAGAAGGGGGAGCAGTGGGAGAAAATTAACCAGAACAGGAGGAGGAGGAGGAGGAGGAGAAGGAGGTGGAGGAGGAAGCGGAGGAGGAATATGAGGAGGAGAAAGAGAACAAGGAGGAGCGGAAGGCGGAGGAGGCGGAGCAGGAGACGGCGGAGAGAGAAGGGGAGGGGAAGGAGTGGAGCTGGGAGCGAGGAGGAGTCCTCGGAAGGAGGTGGAGGAGGAGGAGGAGGAGGAGGAGGAGGAGGAGGAGGAGGAGGAGGAGGAGAAGGAAGAGCGGAGCTGGGAATGAGGGAGCGAAGGAGGAAGGAGGAGGAGGAGGAGGCGGAGGAGGAGGAGGATCGAGGGAGCGAGACAGACACAGAGTGGTCTGTCGTCGTCGTCGTCGTCGTCGTCGCCGTCGTCGTTGAGCACTCCGCCGCGGAGACAATCGCCGCGGCCCCTCCCCCCGCGGGCGCGGCGGCGACGCAGGCGGCGCGGGGCGAGCGCCGCTCCCCCGAACATCGCCCTGCCGATTCTCTTCGGGGGGGGTCGGTCCGCCCCGGGCGCTTACCGCATGCCTGCGCGGACCGGGGCTGGACGGCGGCTGCGGCGAGGCGCGCGCGCGGCCCTCCGCGCGGCCCGGCCAGCCCGGCCTCCCCGGGCCCCCCCGCTTTTGTCGACGCGGGGGGCTCTTTACCATGTTCCAGGGGAACGAAGCCCAGAGCATCCAGGTCTCAAAATGAGGAATATCGATGTTTACGGGTCATGCTGCAGTCTGTTGTTTGAGATGTTGCATCGAGCGCGCCTCGCAAGTGATATCCGATGTGATAAATGATTTATCATGAACAGGAGAACGAAATATTACACAAACAGAAAAGCTCGGAGGTCCGCGCGGATTTCTAGGATCCGCGCTGGACCCCCCTCCCTGGCGCGCCGGGCGCGCCAGGGGCGGCGCCGGAGGCGCCGCCAGGCGGCCCCAGCGCTGATTCGTGAAATTCGCGCGGACCTCCGAGTTATTATGTTTATGCCATTGCTCGTTCCCCTACGCTCGGCCTCCAGAGGCCCTCGCCGAGCCTCGGAACCGTCAAAAACCGGCTCGGGAGAAAGGACCGGGTCCGAAGGGAAGGATCGAGCCTTCCGATGGGTCGACGTTGCGAACAGGACCACGACGGCGGGGGTCTGGGAGGGACGGCGTGGCCCGCTCTGCCTGGCCGCCCGGCCTCCCGTGTGCCGCACGGTTCGCCTGGCTGCCCCTGCCCGCTCCCCAAACGTCGGGCGTCTGGATTTTTCGGGGCCCGGGCCCCCGACCTCTCATCCACTTCCGCGGCACCGGCTTTTCATCCCGCACCGTTTCTTGACAGTCCGGAGGTTCGTTGAGGGCGCCGATTCGATCGATGTGTGCGTGTATATATATATATAGAGAGAGAGAGAGAGAGAGAGACATCTGGATATATACTTTTCCAAGCCGCCTCTCGGCTAGCAGCCATCATCTCGAGGCTCGAAGAGGCCGAAAACGAAGAAAAACCCGCGTCTCGATTTTGGTTGAGGCGCCAGATGTATGGTTCTCGGGCCGTAACTCGGCTTTGCAGCGGAAGTTCGGGACGATCCGGGCACCCCCGAAACGCCCTTGTCGAGGCGCAGCTGGTCGAATGCACCCCGAGGCTGAAAAATCTCCGAGAAACCCTGAGATCCGACGTTGGAGAAAAAAAGAACATCTCAGAACATCACGACCAGAGCCCTGGACCCCATCTTTTTGCATCATTACCTAAACCAGATCGATATGTGACGGTCCCGCGGCACGAAATTGAGCGGAAACGCCCGTTGCGAAACAATTGCGACGCCAGGATTTCAGGTGCCCGATTCTCTCGAGACGCCCCGCTGTTTTCGAGGCGCCGGAGGTCCAGCCCGCTCCCCCCCCTCGTTGTGGATGCCATGACAATGGACACCCTGACAATCCGATCGTTGAATCAAACATGTTTCAAATGTTTGAACCAGGCTCGTAAAATGTTCAAAACATGAATTTACTACAAAACTTGTTGAAGACATGATCTAAACATGTGTTGGGCATCTGGAAGTCATTTGGCTCCATTTGATCGTCGTCCACAGCCCTCTCGCCGCTCTGGCTCCCGTCCTCGCAGAAATAACAGGATTCCCACTATTTTCATATATTTTCTGGGTTTTTGCCTTCCCCCACTCTTCCCATATTTTCCCATATTTCCTGGGGAATCGACGATCCATTGTGTCTGTGTGCTCCTTCCCCTCCTGACTCTCTCTCTCTCCCCGAGGGGTGCAGGCCGCCCCTCTCCGCCGCTCCCCGCGCTCGCCTGCCCCCCCTCGCCGCTCCGGCTCCCTCCCTGGCCGCTTCTGCCCCGCCCCTTGCCCTTTCCAGGCCCCCTCGGGGTGCGGTGGGGGGGGGCATTCTTGCCGACGCAGCCAGGAAGGAACTGCTATTCGAGGGGGAGCAAGAGAGAAAGCGAGAGAGAGAGCGAGAGAACAAAAAAAAAGAAAGAGAGAGGCATGCAGTCTAGAGCCCCTGAGAGCGCCGTTGGGCCGTTGGCTGCTGAGGGCCCTCGGCGGCCTGCGTCCCCAGCATAGGAATCCAGGGTCTGGAGGCCGTTGGAACTCCAACTGAGGCTTGGCAGTGGATCTCACCGCCGCCCTCGTCAGAGAAGGAACCCTCCAGGGTCTACAGCCTCCTGGGCACATTCCTTTACCAACGCCCCGCAATGAACAAGATCATGACGGGAGGTTTTTCCGCATTTTCGGCCTCTGGAGGCCCTCACCGGCCCTCGGGACCGGCAAAAACTGACTCAGGATTGAAATCCGGTCCAGGTGAATGGGTCGAGACCTCCGAGGGTCGACGCTGTGGACAAATCACGACGTCTGGGGTCTGGGTTCGAGAGAGAGGAGCTCGGTGGCGAAGGACCCGCTGGAGTGAGGCTCGAGGTAAGACGGAGCCAGGATGTCGGGTGAGGATAGAGGCAGAGAGTCTCTGAGATCCGGCGGCTTTGGAGGATATCTCGGGCGCCGCGGCCTTCCCAGAGCGTTCCAGAACGCTCTGAGAGCGTTCGGAGTGAGGCTCGAGGTAAGACGGAGCCAGGACAAGGACAAGATCGGGTGAGGATAGGGCCAGAGAGTCTCTGAGATCCGGCGGCTTTGGAGGATCTCTCGGGCGCCACGGCCTTCCCAGAGCGTTCCAGATCGCTCTGAAAGCGTTCCGCAACCCTCTGGAACGAACAGATCCTCGTCCTAGCCTTAGGTCGAGCAGGTCCCTCTACAGGCGGATTTTGGGCGAAAGATTAAAAGTACCCCCAACAAAAATTCCCCAAATAGCCAAAACATATCCAAACAATCGTCCCCATACTATTGTTTCACTACTTTTGAATGTTCCCCCTGAAGAGGGACACGCCCGACTTAGTCCTAGCCCCGTCGGGTTCCCCGTCGCTCGCCCCTCGGGGGAGAGGGGAGCTCTGTAGTGAAGAGGGCGCGGGAATGCGGCTCAGGGGCCAGTGCTTCCCAGCAGGCGGCCCTGCAACGTCGGCGCCGAGCCCAGATGCAGGCTCCTCCAGCTCTGCCCCTGCCCTGACCACCTCGCCCGCACGCGATGCCGGAGTTGGTCAGCGTTTTCTTTTTCGGCGTCTCGGCATTGGGCGGAAGAGGGGGGGTGCGCGGGGGGGGTCTGGCTCCAGACCTCTGCTTCGTGCGACTGTTTGCAGCGGTGCGTCCAGTATGGGCGAGGCCCCACCGGCTCGAAACGGGCGCCCAAACACAGCCAATATCTACGCCATTGGGGGGGACGGGGGGGCCCACGCCGATCGGCAAAAGAACTAATAAAAAAACGATCCCTTGGTTGTCCCTGACTGCGAGACAAAATGTTGCATCGCTCCGTGGCTCCTTCCACCCGGCCGCACAGGCTAGCAGAGCGGTAGGGAGGATCCATATGGCAATGAGAAAGAGTATGACATACACGAGCGGTTCAGGAACAACTCCTCCACACTCATGCAGGACTCAAGCGTACTAAGATACCTCGGCCCAACCGTGCCACAGCCTCTCATGCTTGACTCTCTTCCCTGTACCCTGCTGTGCCTCGTCTTGTCATTCACTCACGCATGCCCCTCCCCAACACACATACACACATACACACACACACACTTTTGTTTAGCCAGCGGGTGCAAGGGTGCAAGCAGGGGTCAGGCGCCAGTGGGGCTAGAGGCAGCGCGCGCAGAAGCAGATGAAGGCACGAAAGAACTGGTGGAGCCGAGCAGACCCTCACACACGTACACACAGACATCCACACACACACACAAACACACACCTACACACACGGCACGCGCACACACACACACTCACACACTCACACACACACACACACCTACACACACGCACGCGCGCACACACACACACATACACTCACACACACACACACATACACGCACGCGCACACACACAGAAACATACACACACACACCCGCAAGCGCACACAGTCAGAGCTTCCCGCTTGCCTCCCTCCCCCTCTCCCACGGACCCGTGCCCTGCCCCGTGAGGCCAGTCCCAAAAAATCCTCAATCCCCCCCAGCATATACATCTCTCGAGGCCGCTCGTCTTACTTCCGCAGGCCTTCTCTCGATCTCCCTCGAAGGCGAGGCCCTTTCTGGAACGCCTCCCACTACTGGCACAGGGGGGGACGCATCGGCCTGGAATCGGCGATACATTGTGCGGAATTCGGAAACCCCGAACCCAACCAAGAAGTGTTCATCTCTTGGAGGGCGTCTTTTACTTCCGCTACCTTCCGCCGCCCTTCCGCCAGCTTCCGCCCGCGAAGGCGGCCTCGTTGTACTTCCGCCGAGATGAGAACTCCGTCGATCCTCAGATGCAAGGCAATTTTTGGAACGCCTCGCATCACCGATGGATCGGCGATAGGCCCCCGATTGTGAATCCGCACGTTCCAGGGCAGGTCGGGGCTATCGGGCCCACCTTCCTCCTTCAGCTATTCTCTGCCCCCGCTCTCCTTTGCTCGGCGCCTTATTTCTGATACGCACCCTTCGACGCGCAAAGGGAAGATGGCAAAGACACACAACAACAAAAAGCATCCCCAGAACGCGCAATCCAACGCACGGAGGGGGAATGGCAAACAGACATAACAAAGGAAATGGGGCCAACAGAAAGGGAGGAGGGGAAGGGATGGAGTGCTGCGGGCATCAACCGCTGCTCTGTCTTGGCAAGGGCGCGGACGTCAAGAAAGCACAGCAGGGCAGGCCCAGCGTGCAAGGGACAGACCTGCCTGCAGCGGGGTGCCTAGAAGCGGTTGAACTCTGCTGCACCGCTGGTGCCCATCATGTCGCGCGCGCTGGCACCCATCCAGTGCCCGGTCGTCATCGCAGTACCTTCTGCCCCATAATCGTCACTCAGCATCGGCCGTCCCACCTGCCTCGGCTGGTGGAAGAAGAAAAGACGGCATCGGCCCAGACTTCCGGAGCTCCACGCGGACCTCTCGGATCTGCGCTGGACCCCCCCTCCCTGGC